GTGAGCAACAAAAATTGATCTGAAAGTGTGGCGTCCTCTCGTTCTCTGCTCTTTCAGTGGGAGCTGCAATCCCAAGCTGCTAGTGATCAGCCATCTTGGATCTCTCTCCTGAGCTTTCCTTTTGTCCTTGGATGAAGGCCTTGACTTCATGCATCCTTATAATTTGATATGGCCACACTTTCCCATGCTTCCTGTTCCACTAATGTTATAGCCATGAACCTTAATGATAGGAACTGGAGGCTGGGTGGGTTTCTTTTGTCCTTGCCCAGTCTAATAGATTGAGTAGGAGAAAGGAGGTAAAAATGCCTGAGAGACATTATCTTTCACTGTCAAGGGTTCACCTGTTTGGAGTAGAGAGGGAAAGAAAAGGAGAAGAAAAGTAAATTCCAAACTTTGGACTTAATTCCTGGTTGGTTCACCAAAATATGTTACCAGTAGAGGGTATCCAGGTTCTTGACATTTTGAACAAAGAATTGGACAAAAGGCACAAACAAAGCAATGAAAGAGAGGTGCAATTTATTGAAATGAAAGTATACTCCACAGAGTGGGAGTGGGCTCCAGCAAGCAGCTCAAGAACCCAATTACGGAAATTTCTGGGTATTTAAATACCCTCTAGAGGTTTCCCATTGGTTACTTGGTGTATGCCCTATGTAAATGAATAGGACGTAGATTACACAGTTATTTACTTGGTGTACACCCTATATAAATGGAGAGGATGTTTCCTGTCATTGCTGAAGTAAAGTTACAAAGTTTTTACTTGGGCATGGAAAGCTGGGGCTTTTCTGTTTGACTTAGGCTCCCTGCTTCCAGACCCCATTCTCCTGCCTCAGTTACAGTGGACTTTCTGTAGGGTTGTAGTCTTCAGAGAGTCTTGTAATCCTTTTTATCAGTCTTGCGCAAATGAGAGGCCCTCCTTGATAGGCTCCTGCCTCTATTTTGTTAGGGTTTGGCATAAGTGGCTCCATATTGATTCTGACAACTTCCGCATTTCCCTCTCTTGATAACCTTTCTCTGAAAACACTGCTGATCAGTCATCCTGTGGTTAGGTTTTGCTTATAGCTCAGTACCAGGATGGACTGTCCTGGTTGGCCTGGTCCCACATTGGAGGGAAGGGATTGGCAACTAAGAGTCAGTGTCAAACCCTTTTGGCTAAAGTAGCTCTCAGGCTAAGTCTGCCTGGAGTTCAGTGTTAAGTGCAAGTTTGTCAGTTACATGGGTGTCGGTTATTATTTCAAAGCACGGGGCCAGCACTGTTCTGTTAGCTATTGTATTTCTGTAGAAATTTGACAGGCAATAGGTACAAAGTTGAAAAAGGACCATATGAAGCCAAATTCATAATAATATGATGACTCCAGTATGCATAACAGTTTTGAATCATGAACCCAAGCCTGAAGATAACCAATTAAACAAATCAAATGACTACGGGGAACCGGGTGAGACTTACATCTGGATCTCAGAGGAAACTAGAATAATTCAGGATTCAGTCCACGTTGTAGGTAAAGAATAAAAACTTAAAAACATTGAACAAGGTTACAGTCTAATAACAGGGTTACTACAGATTTTTTTTCTGAAACATAATTTTTTAATACCTCCATTTCCACCAAAGGTAATCAAAATAAGACCAATATGTTTCTTCACTCAGTTTAGCCTCATCATACTTAGCCTATTTACTTAAGTGCAGGAAGAATGGTAATTGACCACATAGGAGTCTCAGATTTAAAAACCTCTTTAGGCTAGGGAGCCCAACTAAGACAGACTTTAGACTCTATAGCAATACCTATAGACGATCTTCAATATGACATCCTAGTCAAAATTTTAATAATATAACCAACATTTTTAGTTGTATCCTGTTATAAAGAGGGCAGATTCTTATTAAGCTTATGCAAATATTTACCACAAAAATGAGAACACTCATATGTAGTTTCCGAATTTTGGAGGGATCAGGTTGGGGGGTACGGAAAGTAAATGTTTCCATTTTGTTAACAAAAGTATATTTTACCTGCGGCTTGTAGCTGCAGTGAATGAAGCACTCAGACAATTCCAGCCGAGCGGGGCGGGGAGCAGCTCTTCTGAGACAGTGCCCAACCGAATATTTATTGAGAGAGCTTGCTGAACTACAATTCAGACAAAAAACATCCACCGGGGGCGATTTGTGATGGGATCATGAGGCACACATGGCCTTGTTGACTATCTCTAAAAGCATTCAGACTACATTCTCAGGAGGCTGTTTTCAGCGATCCTTATCACGCTTTTCGTCCCTTGCCCTGTTTGCAGGGTCAAGGAGCTAGAGTCTTCTGCACTAACAACGTACATGCAGTGCCTCAGTATTTTTCCATGCCTTGAACTCAAGTGCCTTATACGTAAGCTTGAATATGTTGCCATGCAACCCCCACATTAACTTGTTGTGAGCTGCAGATAGCTTAAAAAAGATTTCCTTCTATATGGAAAACAAAACATTAGGAAGAATCAGCAAAATTTCAAATTGAAATCACCTTGCAAGCTCCTGATCCTTCTGCGTCAGCCCCTTAAGTAGCTGGAATTACGGTCTGTGCCACCACACCTAGCTAATTTTTGTATTTTTTTCTAGAGATAGGGTTTCACCATGTTAGCCAGGCTGGTCTCAAACTCCAGCCTGTTGGGATATAGGTGCAGACTTTCACTACTGCACCTAGCACTGCAATTGTGTCTCTGCGGTGAGAATCTACACCAATGGAAAGATCTGAAACTCAAGCCCTGCTGTTCAGATTCTTTTGTCCCATGAGGTGCTCCCTTAATGTGATACTCTTCCCATTTCCCTAGGGATAGGGCTTCCTGAAGTCATTGGTATTGCTCTTTTGGGTCTATCCACCCAGTGGGGCCACCGGGCTCTGAGCTGGTACTGGGGAGTGTCTGCCAAGAGTCCTGTGATGTGGTCCATCTTCAGGTCTCCCAGCCATGGATATCAGCACCTGCTGTGGTGGAGGTGGCAGGGGAGTGAAGTAGATAGACTCTGAGAGTTCTTGGTTGTAGGTAGGTTGGGTGTGCTGGCTTTCTTGAATGCTGGTTACGCTAGCAGTGATGGTGTCAGTTGGACAGACACAGGGCTTCTGGTTAGCCAGGATGTTGCAGGCAGTGGTATTAACTGCCATTTTCTCCTTCCTGGGAGCAGGGTTGTTCTGTCATGAGTTGCTGTAATGGCCTGAGTTGGCTGGCCTCCAACCAGGAGTTGGCACTTGCAAGAAAGCCCCAGCTACAGTATTAGCAGTGGCATATAAGCTTTCTGTAAGTTGGCCGGGGGAGGTATTCTCATTACTAAGGTGATGGGTAGGGCCATAAAGCTCCCAAGGGTATATATCTTTTGTGTTCAGCTACAAGAGCAGGTAGAGGAATGCTATCAGGTGAGAGAGCATGGTTAGGTGAGTGTGGGCTCAGATTCTCCTTGAATGGGACTTGCTGTGACCACTGTGGGGTATGTGGGGCTGGTCTCAGGCCAGTGGGGTTATGTTCCAGAGGGGAGTGTGGCTGCCTTTTCCTAGCAGTATTGTTCACCAGGTAAGTGGGGAGAGCTGGTAGCAAAAGGCCTCACCCACCTCCCATGCAGTTGGAGAGGCTGGTCTCACTCCTGCAGTGCCCCGCTAATAGTGCCATGTTTAGATCCAGGCATCTTGTGTGTGCAGAGCTTAGATCTAGTCCCAGGCCATAAACTACCCTGCTGAGCAAGCAAGCTCGGCTTTCAGGTTTCTCCCCTCCGTGTCTGCCTACAATGTCAACTGCGGCTCCTGCCTTATGTGCAGCAGTTCCATTCATCCCCTGGACTCTGCTCAAGAAAGTTTGTGCTCAGCTGAAATTATTGCAGAATTCAGTTGGAAGCTTCTTATACCCTGTGAACCCTCCCTGATTCTGCTGAGTTCCTTAAGCACCCCTGTGAGATAGAGTCAGGGATAGCTTCCCTGGGCTTAAGCTGGAGACCAGGAATGTCTACAGAGCTCTTCCTGCTGTTGCTTTCACTTTTATATTTTGCACAGCTCCCTAAACCCGTTCCAGCTCTAAGTAGGGTTAAATCCTCCCGTGATCTGGATATTCCAGGTCCCCAGTGAGGATGTGTGTTTGGAGACAGGTTACCCCCCTCACACTTTGGGAACTCAGTTTTTGCTTGTCTCGCAGAATGTGCAGTGATATGCCGCTTCTTTCAAAAGATCTGTAAATTCTTTCTGTTTTCTTGTATGGTCCTGCAGTGGTTCTTGGAAGTTTGTGGTGTAAGTCTCCACACACTGGTCTGTCCATTCAAGTGGGAGCTGCACATTAGCTTTGTCTCCTATCTACCATCTTCCCCGTCGCTCCCCACCATGATGTTTGAACACATAACCAGCTAGAGTCCCCAAAGGAAGGTTGTTCTGGTATGCCTTAGAATTTGGGAATCCCATTCCGTTTCTTACTACTTCTTGAGAGCAAAAGGAAGTCTTATAAGCAGTTAAGGAATTTTAAGGGTTTGGGCAAAGTGTTTGTTTTAAAAGCATGATTGACACAGGGATACTTCTTTTACTTGGTGGAAGGGCTTTGCCCTCCTTGTCTGACTGGCAGCCATGATTCTCCTGTTGCATGGAAGTTTTCCTGAGACTGGTAGGCGTCTTGTGAAAATCTTGCCATTTGTGCTCAGTTTATTCTTACACAGGGGACTTTGTTCTTTGGAGACCAAAGTCCCTCATAGTTGGTGGTAATTGCCCTAATGGCTTTTAACTAATCATCCCATGCCCAGTGTTGGTATATTCATCTTTCCTCTTGAAAGATATTGAGAAAAAAAGTGGTGGGGGGGAATGTAAAAGAGTCATATCATTTACTGATGTGTGTGAAAACAAACATGAAGTCAGAAGAGAACTTACTAGAAAGACAAACTCTTTACACCCGAAAGGAATTGCCAGAAAAGACAATATGTTTTATAGTCCCAGGAGGGATGCAGAGTCCTTTATTAATGCAGCCTTACCCAAACCAGATCCTGAATAAAGTCAAAACTCAACCAACAGGTGGAAGTCCAAGAATCCACGTGGAGACTCACTGAGGCAAAGGGGCCAACCATGGGAAAGAGCGGATGGGGCTCAGGTGGGTACTGCACATGATTCCGGGGGCTGCTGGTGCTTCCGAAGTGAACTTGCTTTGTGACCTACTCTTCTGACACCAGATTATGTCAACCCCAAATAACAGAGAGGGAGGCACTCCATTGAAAAGAGATTATTCAGGAATGAATGACAAGATTTTTTTTTGTAATTCCAGAATACATGTACCATAGTGAACTATGGCAGGGCCACAGATGTAGCCATGAAGGCAAAGGAAGACAAAGGTTTTTAAAGGCAGAATGAGGAAAGTTACATAAGTGGTTTGAAACAATGATCCTTGCCTGCAAGTGTGGCATCAGCCCAAGATTGAACAGGCAGTTGCTGGGGAGTCACCCACTCAGAAGTACTCTCTATGGAAGGCTGCAGTGGCTTTCTGCAAGGTTGTGGTTTTCAGAGCATCTTTGTAATAGCTCTTATCATAGGCATGTGTGCATGAGAGCCCCTTCTTGGTGGCCTGCCTCCATTTTGTTAGGATTTGGCATAAGCAACTCCATTTTGATTCTGACAACTTTCATAGTGTAAAGGCTTTTGGCCTGAGCTGCTGAGAGAATGGATTCCAGGTTCAACAGTGACTTGGGCCAGAGCAGAGACAGGGAGACAACCTAGGAAGCTCCTCCAGTCATCCCGCTGAGAGATGCAGGAGGCTTAGTCCATGACTGGAGTTGCAGAAGTATGAGGAATGTTCAGATGAGATATTTCTGAAGGTGAATAAGCATTCACGGGTAGACTGCTGTGAGGGGGAGAAACCATGTGGAGTCGAGGACTCCAGGCTGCTTAACCTGAGCTGCTGAGAGAATGGGGCTGCCCTTACAGAGCTTGGGCAGCTGTTGGAGGGACAGCTTCCAGAGGGGAAGTGGGAGTGCACTTGGGTCACTTCATGTTTGAGGTGCTTCTCAGTCACACACAGGGCATGTTGAGTAGGTCTAGGCTAAGCACATCAATCCGCAAGTCACCAGAGTACTTAACGCAGTGGGACTGGGCGAAGCGCCCTGGGGCGTGGGGCTAAAGCAGAGGAGTCTGAGGACTGCCCCTGGACACACCCACACTGTGCTGAGATCCGGGAGAGGAGCTGAATGAGACTGAGAAGGACAGGCAAGTACGAAAGGGGTTGAACCGTGGAGAATGAGTCGTATTTTGGAGGCCAGGTGAGGAACATGTGTTGGCCTCCTGGGGCTGCTGTCACAAAGGACCACAGATTGGATGGCTTAAAACCACAGACATTTACTCTCTCACAGTTCCGGCGGCCAGAAGTCCGAAATCATAGTGTCCCCGGGCCATGCTGTCTCTGAAGACTCTTGGGGAGAATGTCCATGCCACTCCCTAGCTTCTGGTGTCTGCTGTAACATCCTTGCCTTGTGGCCACATCGCTCCAGGCTCGGTCCCTGTCTTCACATGGGCTTTTCCTGTGTGACTCCAAGTGTCTGTCTCTTCTTTTCCCTTATAAGGACCTCAGTCATACTGGAGTAAGGGCCCACTCTACTCCAGTATGGTCGCATTTGAATTACATTTACAAAGACTCTATTTCCAAGTAAGGTCACATTCACAGGTAGCAGGTGTGAGGACTTGAACATATCTTGTCGGGTGATGTAATGCAACCACAACAAAGATGTTTTCAGGAAGAGAGAGTAATCACCCGTGTCAGACACTGCTGAGCGCTGGGAATGTTGAGGCCCAGGAGGGAGCGTTCTGAATGGGCACCAAGGAGGTCAGTGGGGACTTTGTAAGTCCAGTTTCCTGGGGACTGGGTTGGGAGGAAGGCTGATGGGGACGGGTTTGAGAGCACATGAGAGGAGTGGTGGGTGGTGAGTCATGCCTGTGCTCACATCTTAAAGACTCACTAATGTTCTAGTGCTTTGCATTAGATCCTCTCATTAATCCCGGGAGGTGGCTGCTCTCATTATCTTACACATTTTATAGAGGGGACAGAAAAGCTAGGTAACTGCTCAAGGTCATGCAGTTCTGAGTCTGGGTGCCTAACCACAGTGCCATCCTGCCTCTCCCTGAATGGACAGAACTATCACGAGAAGCTTTGCTCTAAGGAGCAAAGCAAAGTGAGGCAGCAGCTGGAGGAAGGTGTGGTGTGAAGGGAGAGGTTGTCTTTGTTTTACTGGTATTGGGAACAATCCCAGAGAGAGGGACACTTTGATGATGCAGAACCAAAGGAGGCACTACTGGAGCATGACTTGCAGTAGGAAGAGCAGGTGGGCCCAGTGCATGGGGGGACAGGCACACAAGCAGGGAGGCACACGGGTGGCAGGTGCAGGCTCTGCTCATCACAGAAGTGGGAGGGCAGGAGGAATGTGGAGTGGGCGGGTGGGGGGGTAGGCTTGGTGGTGACAGCAAGGGGAAGCTGTCTTCTGGTTGCCTTTTCTTGGTGACTTAGGGAGGCAAGAGAGGAGGTGGTGCAGGTTTGATGATCAGGGAGCAGTTGTGAAATTCGCATACTCTGAGAGTGGGGAGTGAAAGGAACGGAAAGACACAGTGGGGTTGAACATGAGAGAGGAAGAGGAGGGGAGAGAGCTGAAGGGTATGTGAGGGGCACTTGCCATGAGTCGGAATAGAATCTAAATGGGCGAGGAGGGTAGAGAGGATGTCGGTGAGTGAGGAATAGTGTTACAGGTTATGTTGTCCCCCCACCCCACCAAAAATGTCTCAATTCCCAGTAGCTGTGAATGTGACCTTATTTGGAAACTGCCATTGCCGATGTAACTAAGGTGTGAGTTAAGATGCAGTCGCACTGGAATAGAATGGCCCCTCATCCAGTATGACCACTGTCCTTACGAGCAAAGAAGAGACCTGAAGCCACAGAGGGAGAAGGCTGCATGAAGACAGACAAGAGATTGGAGTGATGCAGCCGCAGGCCAGGAGCACCAAGGACTGTCGGCAGCTGCCAGAAGCCAGAAGGAGGCAGAGAGGACCCTCCCTGAGAGCCCTCAGACAGAGCGTCGCCGTGCTGACTCCTGGACTGTGGACTTCCGACCTCCAGAACTGAGAGATAATTGATTTCTGTTGTTTGGAGCCACCCAGGTTGGGGACCTTGGTTACAGCAGCCTAGGAAACTAAGACAAAGATCAGAAATCCCGGGGTGGCCGGAGAACTCCCAAAGCTTGTGTTAGAGTCAGAAAGCTGGAAAGGGAGGAGTCAGGGCCTCTAGGGGGCTGCTCACTGCTGATAACAGGGAGGGTACCATTTTGTTATTTACAAGGTCTAGGGCAGAATGCTAATAAAACTGATAATACCTTCTGTCATCTGAGCCTTCCACTGTGGCAGCCACATGCTACGCGTGGCTCTTGGGCTCCTGAGATGTGACTAGTACAACTGAAGTAATGAGCTCTAAGTTTTATTTCATTTTTAATTCATTAAAATTTAACTAGCCACACATAGGTAGTGGTTACCGTAGTGAGCAGCACAGGCCTAGGGTGTGACTGAGGGGATGTACGTCACAGACTCCAAGGTCTTTGGAAGCGAGGAAGTAAGAACGGAAAGACATGTTTATGGGAAATGTCATCTGAGTAGAGATTGAAATCATAAGACAGGTCAGGAGCCGTGATAGAGAGAATGGGAGGACCTGAGCCATGAGCTAAAAGCTTCAAGGAATGGCAGGGAGTGATGGGAGGCTTGAAGCTGATTTTTGTACCTTCTCTTACTTGGCTGAGACCAAGGCCCCTCTTCTTGGGGAGCTCGCTGAGCTCACTCCTGCAGGTCCTGAAATCCCCAGAACTTTGGTCCTAGCTGCCTAAGCATCCCAGTCCCTACCCGTGTGACGGCCATTGTCAGATGTCCCTGCCAGCCCTGGGAACTCAAAGCAATTCAGGAGGCCCAGGCATGCTCTGCCCAGTGCTGCAGGGGGCCCAGCCTTGTGGCTGGGACAGGTGACTTCTGATGGCGGGACCTGGGGAGGCTTCCTGCAGAAGGTGCCATGGGTGGAGCTCTGAGGATGGGGCCTTCACCTCTGACCTATGGCCTAGGATGGGTCAGGGGCTTCAGAAGAGGGAAAGAATAGCAAAGCTGAATTTGAAGTGGAGCTATCAGAATCAGAGTGGACCCACCCTCACAGGTTTGTGGTGTTTTTTTTGTTTTATGTTTTGTGTGTGTGTGTGTGTGTGTGTGTGTGTGTGTGTGTGTGTGTGTTTTGTCTCCAGGCAGGGCTGCTGTAGCAGCTGTGATCTGAGGAGGTGAGTCACTATGGGGAGGAATTCAAGCGCCCTTCCCCCACATCCCCTCAATCCTGAACCTCTGGGAGAAACTAGCCTTGACCAAACCCAGAAGTCCCCAAGACATATGTGGGTAGCAGTGGAGTGGGAAGAGTGATGAGAACCTTGAGCAGCAGAAAGCAAAGCACAGCCATTAAAGGCGCGGGCCTTCGGAGGCAGCCAGAGCTGGGGCTACTCTCAGCTTCCACCAAGTACAAACCATGCGACCCCAGATGAGTCATTTGAGCAGTCTGAGCCTGGGATTCCTCCCCCTCTAAAGCAGGGCCCATGGTATCCATGGGTACTTTTGCAGGGAGTTGTCAGCTGAGCTGTGTCTCATTCCTCAAAATTATTTGACAAAGCCTGGTAGCCCATCCACTGAGTCAGAAGCTTTTGAGCTGCTGTAAAGCAATGTCCTCCAATGCAGTGGCCAAAACTAAAGAAACTCATAACGTTTCTCTGTCACCTGCATCTCATTTCAAGTGTTTAACGTGGCTACCCTAGTAGACAGAACGGAAAACAAATATGGCTATGATTGCAGATAGCTCTCTGACTGCACTGCTCTGGAGATGTTGGGGAGCCCTGGAGGACCCCCGCATGCTTCTGCAGGGCCCTCAGGGCCTCCATCCCCTCGCCTCTTTGGAAGAGCAGCTCTGATATTGTCTACTTTCAACCGTGTGCTTGGAGAGATCATATTTTCCTTGCCGAAAGGGAAAGTTTGAAGACTTCTGTTTTTATTTGACTTCAATGTATTTATTTGACATTAGGGGAACAGAGGCCCAAGGAGGGCCAGCGAGCCTCACATGGTGTCAGTGAAACAGTTCTAAACAGGCCTCGGAATTCAGATTCTCCTGGGAGCTGGTCCACTGGCTGCTTTCCACATTGACTGCCCTTGTTTTGAGATCCCATCCCTGCTCCAGGTCTTTCCCGAGAGCACAGCAGACACCACCTCCACAGGAAGATGTCAGGGAGGTCTGGGGGGTCTGTCTCATGGGGCCAACCCCACATCTCCACTTTGCTGCATTTGTGGCTGTGGTGACTGTGCCTGTGGGGCTCAGTGCCATGGGCTTCACCTCAGGAGGAATCACTGCGTCCTCCATGGCAGCCCAGATGATGGAGGGGGTGGAGTTGCCGCGGGCAGCGTGATGGCTACTCTGCAGTCAGTGGGTAAGAGTTCCGAACAGGATGACCAGAGCCGGGAGATGATCCAGCCCCAAGGCTGGACCCCAGGGAGGCCTTTCCTCTCCCTGCAGTTCCATGACCCTCAGCCTCCTGGGCCCTTTTTGTCTTCCTGTCACTGTCCTTTCTTCTGGTTGGAGGTGGGACCAGGGGTACAGCCTAGGAGATCTGCGTTCCTGGTGAACCCTACAAAAGCCAGGCAGGTCCTCTCCCCTCTCTGGGTTATTGGAAGATAAGGAGGCTGCCATTTCTCAGGGTCTGCCCTTTTGCTGGGATTCCCTCACCAGAGTTCATGCCTCCTTTCCAGGCAGTGGCCTGCAGCAGCCCCTCCCAAAGCAGAAATCCTAGGGTTTTAGGAAGTAGAGGTGGGGAAAAGGGTTGGGCTGCCTGGACCTCAGGCATCTGGAGGGAACCAGGGTCTCTTGCCTCCAACCCCCTGTTAGGAGCTGCTACCCCTCCCTGTGCCCTGTGCTCACCCTCTCTTCTCCCCCAGGGGCAGCTGGACTCTCCGTGACATCTGGAGTCATCCTGAGCTCTGCTGGGTCAGCTCTTGGAGCCTGGCTGGGTTGCTTTTGCACCCTCAGCTGAATACTGCACTGAAGCAGGGAGGTGACTCTCTTGATGGAGATGACTCTCCTGGGCCTCTGAAGGACAGTCTTCAAAGGACAAGTCCCCTACTGCCAAAATCATCCAAGGAAGCATGAAAAATAAAGACAAGAGGCTGCTGATCTTCTCCTAGCATCAGTTCCCTGTTCTTGTGGTCAGGATAGAGCACAGCGCTGCAGCAGGAGTGCGGGGCAGGGAGGGACTCAAGAGGAAGGAGCATGGGATGTCTGTGACCAGAGCCAGTCTGACTCCAGGCTTTCCACTCACTCTGTGGTCCTGAGCAGGTCATGTCTGCCCTTTGAGCCTCAGTTTGCTGCTCTTCAGATCAGGGAGGCAGCCAGAGTCAGCGTTATAGGATGGTGTGGCTCTTGGGTCAGTGCTTGAGCCATTGATGCTCAATTACGAAGCCCTTTGTCCCCATGCCTGACTGATCCCTTCCTTTTCCACCCAGGACTCAGGGTGTGGCTGTATGATTACTCTAGAAGTTGAACAATACTGCGTTTGCCTGGCCGATGGGCCTTCTCCATACAGATAGAAAAGTTTCATTCCTCCAGGGAACTCTGTCCCTCTCGGCACAGAGCCCAGGCTCCTTAGCCCTCAGATGGACTGAGCAGAGCCTGTGAGGATGGACAAGGGGCTGGGATTCCTGAGAAGTAGGCCGATGCAGAACACCCATTTCCAGAGACCTACTATGTGCCTGGCACCTGATTTGGGACCTACTGTGTGCCTGGCCCCAGATCAGGTGCCAGGTGTCCTATGCACACTATGCACACTGACCTGTTGTCTGCCACCCGGCACCTGCTTGGCCGTTAGAATAAGCCACAGTTGACTTCTGGAAAGCCTGTTAAGATTTGGCCTCTGATCTCAACCTCGGTCCCACTCTGGGCTGTTTGACCTTCACACTTATTATTCCTTTACAGCTGTATTCCCATAGGGCTCTCTCTGGGATGCTGACTGAGCTGACTCCCACAGCTCCCAACTGGCCTCAAGGGCTCCATCCCACATGATCCCCCTGGCTGCAGAGGATCACAGAGATCCATCTCTGCCCTGGGTGCACAATGTTGGGGAAGCCAGCCCTTAACCAATGATGTTAAGGGACTTGGGGTAAATTACAGAAATGACCACATTCTCCTCCCTTTCAGCATGGCTGTACAGCTCCTCCCATCAAGAAGTAGGAGTTTCTTTCCCCTCCCTTTGAATCTCTTCTGGCCCGGGGAGTTGCTCTGGCAGATAGAACGCAGTGGAAGTGATGGCATGCTAATCTTGAGCCTAGTCCCTAAGAAACCCTGCAGCCTTCTGCTGCAACGCCTGGTCCCCATCACTGCTATGAGAACAAGTCAGGCTGGACAAGCACACAAGGCCCATTCATTCCAGACAAGGCCCCAGACATGGGAACGAGCCCAGGTGAGATCTGCGAAAGCCGACCTGCAGCTACCTGCAGATGGTTGAGGGACCCAGCTGAGACCAGAAGAACCACCTGCCTAGATTGCTGACCCACAGAATCATGAGCTACGTAACTCTTTTAAGCCACTAAATAGTGTGGTCACTTTTTATCCAGCCACAGGTAACACAACATAAGACAATGTGTACAGTCCCTGAAGAGGATCAGGCTATATGGCTCATAGGACAGAGAAGGCAGAGGTTGATTCTAATTGTAGCTACCTGAAAAGACTTCCTGGAGTAAGTGCTGTGTTACTTAAGGATTATGTAGTTGTAAGTACTAGAAATTTGACAGCACCTTGCTCAGAGTTCAAGGGATTTCATTGATTTACTAAATGAAAAAGTCCAAAGGGAAAGTATGTTTCAGGCAAGATTTGATTCAGCAGCACAATGTGGATGTCAAAGACCTGTCTTCTGTTCTTCATTTCTGAGGCATCAGCTACATCCGGTGCCTGCCAGCTCTCTCAGTTACAAGGCAGCTGTTAGCAGGCTCTGGAAGCTACCTTCTTTATTCATGTCTCCCAGAAAGAACCTTTTTTTCATGCACTTTCTCCTGAAAAGCAAAGAAACGTCTTTCCCAAATACTTCTAGTAAATGTTAATGCTGCTATCTTAAATGAAGTCATTTACTCATTCCTAAAACCCATTAGCTTAGCCCAAAGGCTGGGTGGGATGAGCTGATTGGTTTAAGTGCACCTGGGCTCACCTTTAGACAGTGCGAGGAGAGCCCATGCCTCTGCTACACTCATAGTCAGGGCAGGAGCTCCTATACCTGAAAGAGGAGGTTTCTGTTTCAAAGAAGAGAGGGGGGTAAGGGACACTGAGTCTGTAAAGGACAGCATGGGTGATGTTCTGAGGGAAGACGGGCCTCGAGGACCCTTGGGGGAAACTAAAGTAGGCTCCCAGCCAGGCTCACTGCGTCTCTCTCTGTCGTGTTATCTTCTCACCCCGCCAGCCGTTAAGGAACAGCACACTGGACCTGAAGGCAAGTGGACAGTAGGTTACCGTCTTTTTAGTTTTAACTTTACAGCATGGGATTATATTATTTTCTAATGAAAATTAGCATTTTATTGCATTTAAATTACTTAAGAAATCTTGAAGTACCTTCTACTCTTGAAAACCTAAATTCCTACAAGTAAGGCTAAAGCCCCTTTATCTCTGATGAGCATCCTTGCCCCTCATTCCGCCCCCAATCCCACTCTCAGAAGTAAAGTGCTGCTGCAATTTCATACGTTTCTTTCCATGGACCTTCCTCCCTTTTATATTGTGATTAAACCTCATAAAATTTACCATCTTGGCCATGTTTTTTTGAGACAGAGTGTCACTCTGTCACCAGGCTGGAGTGCAGTGGTGCAGTCTCAGTTCTCTGCAACCTCTGCCTCCTGGGTTCAAGCGATTCTCCTGCCTTGGCCTCTTGAGTAGCTGGGATTACAGGTGTCCGCCACCATGCCTGGCTAATTGTTTTGTATCTTTGGTAGAGACGGGGGGGTTTCACCATGTTGGTCAGGCTGGTCTCTAACTCTTGACCTCAGGTGATCCACCCACCTCGGCCTCCCAAAGTGTTGGGATTACAGGCGTAAGCCACCTTACCTGGCCACCATTTTTAAAGTACAGTTCAGCAGTGTTAGATACATATTCACGTTGTTGTGATACAACCCCAGAATTTTTTCATCTTGTGAAAATGAATCTCTGTCCCCATTAAACAGATCTGCTCTGCCCCCTCCTCCTGCCCTGGGAATTCTACATTCTGTCTTTATGAATTTGACCACTCTGGGTACTGCTGATTGGTGGAATCATATAGTATTTGTCACGTGTGTGTGTGTGTGTGTGTGTGTGTGTGTGTGTGTGTAGAGATGGGGTGTTGCTTTGCTATGGGAAGCCTCTGACCTGGGGCAAATCACTGAACCAGACCGCATTTCCTCATTTGTAATATGGGTAGGGGGTGTCCTCTCTTTTTCATGTTAGTGAGGAGATTACAGAAGAACAGTTACCTTACCTGCCATATACGCCTTAAAATGTGATTGGTTCTGATTTCCTAATTTTAGTGTCTTTTCAATTGCTCCGTGGAGATATAAGGAAGTCCCAGAACTGTCTAAGAAGTTGGCACTGGGGCTTTCAGGAGGAAGAAAGCAGCACCCCCCTGCCACCCCAGGGGAAATAGCATCCCTCAGGGCCCTGGGCTAACACACGTCCTTTGGTAGCCCCAACTCTCCAACATCCCTCCTTCCCTCACCCCAGGTTCCTTTCCAGGCCTGCTGTCCCCACAGCTTACAGCAGCCTCCCTAGCCCCCTGGAGCCCCTCACATCTTTCAGGACAGTGGGAGGCAAGCCAGGTTGTGTGCCCATCACGTCCTTAGAGCTCTATCCCTTTGGCTGAAGTTGAGGAACTCTTACTCTCTAGGCCATGGAATTCACCCGAGCAGTGACTGGTGTGGCCAGGGTGGCCTCTGGCTGTGCTGCAGCTTTGCCTGTGGGTGAGTGTTCCCGGGAGGGGCTGCTGCTGGGGGCGAGGAGGCGACTGTGGCAGGTGGCAGTCCCGTCCAGGGAACCATGGGAGAGAAAATGGGGGAACACCTGCAGCCTTGCTGCCCTGCCCTGTCCTCCCACTGCAGGTGTCCGCCCCGGCTTTCCATCTGGGAAGGGGCCAGGGGCAGGCCTAGCCCTGGGTGTCCCACAGGTCCCCCCCACCCCCCGGCCCAGACCCCCTCCTGCCTAGCCCAAAACTATCTATCCCTGAGTCCCACTCCCTTCAGCTCTTCCTTCCCCTGAATTCACCATCAGAATTCACCTCCTTTGGGAGTTTCCCTTGTCAACAGGGTCCCTGCGCCCTACGAGATCTCAATCCAGAGTACTGATTTTAACAAAATTCTTCAGCCCACTTTTTTCACTGGTTTCTGTAAGATCTCTTTCTGGTTTTATTTATTTATTCTCATTTGTCTTCCTTTTCACCCTCAATTCCCATCCCTCAAAGTCAACCTTTGTAATAGATTTGATGTGTGTCTGGTTTTCATATGTATTTTTGCAGAACAGGTATTTTGTTTTGTTTGCATGCGTTGTAATTGACATGCAGGAGAGCGTGTTGTAGATCCCATTCTGTCGCTCTTTCCCATGCTGAACCATATTCTTGAGATCCATCAATGTTATTCAGTGAGCATCTAATCCTGGCTTCTACCTGCTGGCAAGTGCTTCTTTGCAGGTATCCACTGCCCTTTACCTTTCTGTCTCCTGGGTGGACATCAGGGATTCTCCCAACTCCACCAGCACAAATGGCATAGTCTTGAATGACCCCTACCCTGACTTGTGACCCTGCCCCAACCTCTACCCTGTATTTGAGCCCTGTGCACTCACCCTTTGCTGACCCTGTCATCCTCGGCTGCCCTGAGCCCCAACACATCTATCCTCAGACTCTTGTTGGGGGCATTGGAGGTTAGCTCCTTCATGCTGGGGTCCCTCACTGGCACCCTGTTTTGCGACTTGGAGGTAACTGGCCCTTGGCAACACACATCACTCTGTGTACCCCCAACTCAGTGCAGAGAAGTGTCATGAGCAAGTGAGGGCCTGGGCCACACCCAGCAGTCCTTTCTGTTTGTCAGAAATGCAGATGACTTCTCAGTTTAAGATCAGGCAATTCATAAAATTAAAATACTAACAGCTCAATTTGAGCCAGCGCTTTTATGTCCTAGTCGTGAAGTCTAGCACTTGAGGTCTGTCCATTTGTTTAATTCTTGTAACAACCCCAGAGGAAGATAAGAAGATAATACTATCTCTTATTTACCAACAGGGACAATTTACTGTTGTCCAAGTGCTCTGTGCTGGACAGGAGGGCGTGGAGGTGCTGCTTCCGGGCTTGAAACAGGAGGTAGAATAATGATCAATGACAAGAAGCATTAATATGCCTGGCACAGTGCCTCACACCTGCAAGCCGAGGCGGTGGGGGGGGATCACTTGAGGTCAGGAGTTTGAGACCAGCCTGGCTGGTTGGCCGGGTGACACCTGGTCTCTACCAAAAATACAAAAATTAGTCAGGCATGGTGGTACATGCCTGTAGTCCCAGCTACTTGGGAGGCTGAGGCAGGAGAATCGCTTGAATCCAGGAAGCAGAGGTTGCGGTGAGCCAAGATTGTGCCACTGCACTCCAGCCTGGGTGACAGAGCAAGACTCTGTCTCCAAAAAAAAAAAAAAAAAGTATTAATAGAAGTGGGGGAAGGAGGTCTCAGGGCAGAGAAGGTTCTGAAGGGTGCATAGGGCAGAGGCCAGGCTCCTTTGCCCTATCAATGGCCATCAGCTGAGCCTAACAGGCAGGCCCCCAGACACACAGCAGCCAGTTCCTGAGGGCTTTTGTGTGTCAGGGCCAGGCTTACCAGGCTGCCAGGCAATTTGGCATCACCTCTCCTGCCTGCCAGTAAAACTGAACCTTCTAACCTGATTATTGATTCCTGAGTCCTGGGGCTCATAAGCCCTCCAGGTGGCCTTTCTGGTCACTCAGGGTTTGACCTTCACACCTGCGTCTCTACTTCCTCCACCATCACTCTAAGGCCTCTCCCTGGGAGCTGGCTGAGCTCACTCCTGCACATCTGGCTATCTTTAGAACTCCTGGTTCTAAATTGCAGTTTTGGCCCCTCTGGCTGCTGGGGAGTGGGACCTCTGCCTGCTTCCCAGGGACTCACCATGTGAGGGAGCAAACCATGCATACCCAGTACTGTGAGTGGCTCCAGTCATGGAGGAGCAAGGATGAGTTCTGATTGGAAGAATCTGGGAAGGCTTCCTGGAGGAGGGAGCAATAGCATGGGCCTTGAAGAATCAGAAGCTTTCAAGTCATTCCATTCAAGCATTGCTCTCAAGTGGCATTCAAGCATTTCACAGTGCTTGCCCTGACTTCAGCCACACAGTGCAAAATGAAGCACATCTTTCTCTACCATGAGGACTTATTACATCTGAAGAGTTTTTCTGGACTATAGGAGAAAGTCATGGTATCCCTCACTAATAAACACTGACCCTGCTTCAGATGAGCTAACAGCCCTGCTCAGAAAGCATGACACCCATCCTCTTCACTTCTCCCTGTCCCGGTCAAACCACCAAGCCCTAAATTCCATTGCCAAGTATCCTGTGTTACCAGGAACGGACGTCAGAGTAGCATGCCTTCCTAGCCACATCTAGAAGGTTTTGTTCATTTTTATTCTGCCTTTTATTTGAACTAAACCTGGCTTGGGAGGAAGAAAAGAGAAATTCTGATTTCCCCTAATCAACCAACCAACCAACTAGGTCGGGACCTCGTAAATTAATCAGGACAAGCACTGGAGTCAAACCCTCCAGTGACCTTCGCCTTCTCCAGTAATTCCACTTCCCGAAACGAAACAGAGCAGTAGAGGGAGTCATCCCTTCTTCTGGCTCCCAACCTGGGGCAGCCCCCTCCCACTAGATGGGCAGCTGGCTCAGACAGTGGAGGGGAGGCCAGCGTGGATCCACTCACAGACTGTTCTTTTGGTTTTCAGCCAGGATTGCTTCAGTTGTGATTGGAGGTGAGTCTGTGGGGAAGGGGCTCAAGTAACCTCCTGCCTCTAGGGAGGTGGACTTGGGGAGCAGCCGGCCTTGTCCATGCCAAGGCTCCCTTCGCGTGGGTGATCAGGGGAGGAGGTGGGATGAGGGGCTACATATGAAACAAGGAACTAGAAATAACGGCTCTGGAAGCTGGAAGCAGGGAACCTGGAGACTGGGAGCTGGAATGTGTGCGGGCAGGGCGTGGTGGTAGCCAGGCAGGGGCCATTTCCCCTTGGCAGAACGTTCACTGAATGACCCTGGGCATGTCTTTGAACTCCTCTGAGCTCCCATTCCTCTCCAGGGAAAGGGTTGGTAATGCCCATTCAGGGCTATCATCAGGATTGCATAGGGTGAACCAATAGAGACTGAACACAGTAGACAGGAAAGAGATGCCGGGGCTCAGCTCCCCTTGGTTTAGTGGCTTCTGATGTGCTCAGTGGCAACACCACGGAGCCCTAGAGCGCCTCTTTGAGCTGTTCTGAATGTGCCTCTTACATAATCTCCAGGGCAAGATCTGCTCCTCTAATGAGATTTGCTCCCCAAATGATGAAAGCAAAGATGAGAAACTTGCAAACCACTTCCCTGTTCCAGCATTTGGCTAAGGCAGACACTGAGCGGGAGGTCAAGTGACTTTCCCAAGGAAGGTCCTGCTGCCTATCAGAGCTTGGCCCAGAGCCCTGTGCCCAGTGACCCCACTAGCTTTTCCTCTACTTCCCCCGCCTGGCTGTGCTCCCCTCGAGTCGTGCCTACTGGCCGTGCCCATAGTCTCTCCCAAGCTCAGAGTTCACCTCTTTCTCCAGATTCCCTGAGGTCCCCAAGCCTGACCCACTGTATGTGGGCGGGGGGTTCCTTCTCCTGAGCCCGTGAACCGACCCAGCTCCTCTTCCCCGCAGCCACGGAGGTGCAGGCTGTGCCTGTGGTGCTCGGTGCCAGGGGCTTCACTGGGGTGGGAATGGCCGAGAACTCCATAGCAGCCAAGGTGACGTCCGCAGTGGCCATCGCCGACAGGGGCGGAGTTGCCTCGGGCAGCCTGGTGGTTACTCTGCAGTCACTGGGTAAGCAGCCTGGCAGGGCTTGCTGGGGAGGGCGATGAGGAAAGCAAGAGCCTCCAAGGGCCCAGTCCTGAGCTCAGCCCCATGGGCCTCAATCTCTCTGTTCCTCTGTCTCTCTCTACCATTCTCTCAGGATTTCTCTGATGAGCTAACAGCCCTGCGGGAGATGGGGAGGGAGGGAAAGAGCCCTGGCCAGGAACAGCGGGCTCAGGAACACTCACCCTGAAGCAGACTTGCTGGGTTACCTGGGCGTCTCCTCCCTTCTGGGGTGCAGCCTCCTTCCCTGAAGAACGAGGCTGCTTCCAGCTCTGGAATTTACCACAAGAGTTCATGCCTGCAGCAGCCTCGCCCAGAACACCCGAGGGTGCTGGGAAACACGAGGGGAACTGGGTGAGGTCTCTGGGCCTCAGGCCCTCCTGAGGGTCACTGGAGTCTCTTCCCCCACAGTCCTGTCCCATAGAGCTTCCGTGACAGGCATGCCCCACTGCGTTCACCCTCTCCTTCCCAGGAGCAACTGGGCTCTCCAGGTTGACCAAGTTAGTCCTGGGCTCCACTGGGTCTGCTGCTGCGGCAGCTGGCTTTGTGAACTTCCTCTAGCTCCCTGCCCCTCGCCCTGCAGTGAAGAGAACTGTGCCAGGAGAGAAGGTGCCCAGCCGTCCTGACCCAGTGAGGAGCCAGCTATAGCAAACACACCTGGGGTGAAATATACCAAACCCTACACCCCAGAGGAAAACCAGAAAGAAAGGTTAATTGTTGCAACTCTTCCCAGAAGCTTTTCCTCTCGCTGGCTGTGGGGCCGGCCCAGAGTGATACTTGAGGTGGGGAAGGGGCATGTTAGGGCTCAATTCTCTTTCCCCACACTGTCATCACAAAAACTTGGGATATGATGAACCAAAATGAATCTAAATTTGAAGACAAGCTGTCGCTACCCTGCTACTGACTCCGTATGTAACCCTGGCAGGTCACCTCCTCTCTGAGTCTGTTTGCACCTCTCTAAATGGGGAGTTGAACTAAATGGCCTTCAAGATCCCAGCCAGGGCTTGTGTTTGGCTCAGTTCCCATGAGGACTCAAGAGCAGGGAAAGCGGTGGGGGAAGTGAGGGGTGAGGGGGGTGCGAACAGCCTGTTTTTAGCCACTTACCCCAAAGCCAGAGCCTCACATCTTTGCACACGTACCCCGCCCCCACCCTCTGCAAATCCAGTGGCTGTTTCCCGAGTGGTTGGCTTAGGCTCAGATATGTCACTGACAAGTCTCAACGTCAATGTCCCGAGTCGTCCCAGACTCCACTGCCCTGGCCCTGGCCCTTTTCCCCCAATAGCCAATAGGAAACTTTAATTTGTCAGGGCGCTGACCTTTCTTCCTTAGGACCCTGGTCCTGAAATGTCCTTCCCTAACCAGAACAAGGCCTCGTAGACACTTCTCATCGCTGCAATGTGTTCTGCCCCAGAGTATCAGGAATTCGTTCATATGTTGTTTTGCTGCTCCTTTCCACACTGTCTATGAGCACATGCTGTGGTCCATGCACAGGGCTGGACCCCAAGGAAGAGAAGGGCACAGCTCGGTCTTTACCTCAGCAGCCCTCACGGTGAGTTGAAGGGATGGACCCACAGGCAGATGGCCATGGGCACTGACCTCCGATAAGTGCTATGCCAGGGGCCAGCCCATGCCTTGGGGGCCAGAGGCATGTCAAGGAAGGAGAGTGTGGATTTTATCCTGAGGACTTTGGAGAGGCACTGAAGGGTTTTCAACTGTGCAGTGACCACAGACACTGCAACCCTGTGCACCCCACCCTAGGTTTCCAAAGGGAAGCAGAACTGTGAGTCTAGTGCTACAGACATTTCAAAAACATTCAACAACTCATCCACGTCTCTTAACTGGGTCAATGAAGCATGGTTTCTATACAGCCGTAGGAATTAACCTTCTCAGGGTGTTCTTTCAATATGTGATTCTTTTCCCCCACCTTCCCCTTTCTTTGATGCCTTGGGGAATCTGAAAAAAGCTGTGAAACTTCTCCCCACAAAATGTACACATTCCCCAAATAATTCCCTCGATGTTAGGGCATTCATTAGAACATTGGAAGACCCTCATTGAAGTGAAAGGTAAAACCCCCTGCATTAACTAGAAATCCGAGCCTTTCTGAAAGGAAAGCAGGTCTGACCTGGGTTTGGGAGGATGGACGAGCCTGCATCCCAGCTGAAGCCCAGTAGACAGTCCTGCAAGGCAGGTCACCTCGCAGCATCCATTATTCTAGGTGTGGGTCGTGACCTCCTCCCTTGTCCCGCTCATGAAGGTGAGGTCTTCCAGTTCCCAGGGCCTGTTTCCATTCTGGCAGCCAGCTCTTCACCCCACCTCGGCTGCATGGCTCTCACCTGATTCTTTACCTCTGACCCCTCAGCTTGGCCTTTGTGGCAGGCCTAATTCTAAGCATGGTGCCCAATGACCTCCCTGGCATAATCCCCTCCTCTCTGGGTGTTGGTGAAGCTTCTAAACATGTTGAGCTATCACTCCTGTGATTTTGGTACGTGAATGGCAAAACGGAGATTATCAGTCGGGCAAGGTAGCTCATGCCTGCAATCTCTGCACTTTGGGGAATCAGAGGGATCCCTTGAGCCCAGGCTGGTCTCAAACATGATGAAACTCCATCACTACACACAAAAAAACCCACAGACATTTAGCCAGGCACGGTGGTGCACACCTGTTGTCCCAATTACTCAGGAGGCAGACATGGGAGAATCACTTGAGCCAAGAGGTTGAGGCCACAGTGAGCCATGATTGTGCCACTACACTCCAGCTGGGCAAAGGGGAGTTTCAGGAGCAGCAGAGGATGCACGTGCCTTGGCACAGGGAACCTAAAATGCATGCGGGCAGAAGGACAGCTGGGGGTCATCCAGACCAGATGTGCCTCCCTGTAAAACCTCCATGCTTGGAAGTTCCCTCCTGCCTCCGATGGTCTCCGTCGGAGGTCCCCTTTCTCTTGATGGCTTCTCGGAGCTACTGCCTTCCACCCATGCTGCCATGGAAAGGCCCAGTTACATATCCCCCTCCAGGTCTCTCACTGAGCAGCTGGGACTTACTTCCTCCTGGGACATCTTTCCCTTTGCCTCCCTCCTCCTCTGTCAGACTTCCATTCACCTTTCAAGGCCCAGGCCTTTTGCCTCCTCTTCCAGGGAGCCTCCCCAGGTATGAGAACAGATCCCTACCTCCTCTGACTCCTCCCGTGCTAGCTGGAGTCTGTCACTGCCCTGAACATAATGGTCTGTGTCACTTTTGTTCGGGTAAGGAAGACTGGAGTCTTTAGGTGACTGATAGAGTTTGGATGTTTGTCTCCTCCAAGACTCATGTTAAAATGTGATTCCCAGCGTTGGAAGTGGGGCCTAGTGTTTGGGTCATAGAGGCGGATTCCTCGTGAATGACTTGGTGCCCTCCCCACAGTAAGGAGTGAGTTTTCATTCTATTTGTTCACAAGAGACCTAGCTGTTTAGAATAGCCTGGTATCTCTCTTGCTCCCTCTCTCATCATGCGACATGCCTGCTCCTCCTTCCCCTTCTGCAATTGTAAGCTTCCCGAGGCTCTCACCAGAAGTAAATGCCGGCACCATGCTTCTTGTATAGGCTGCAGAACTGTGGGCCAAATAGGCTGCTTTTCTTTCTTTCTTTTTTTTTTAAGATGGAGTCTCACACGGTCGCCCCGGCTGGAGAGCACTGGCGCCATCTTGACTCACTGCAACCTCCGCCTCTGGGGTTCAAGCGATTCTCCTGCCTCAGCCTCATGAGGCTGGGATTACAGGTGCCTGCCACTATGCCTGGCTAATTGTTTTGTATTTTTAGTAGAGATGGGGTTTCACTATGTTGGCCCATCTGGTCTTGAACTCCTGACTTCATGATCTGCCCGCCTCGGCCTCTCAAAGTGTTGGGATTACAGGCGTGAGCCACTGGGCCTGGCCTCTTTTCTTTATAAATTACCCAATTTCAGGTATTCCTTTATTGCAACCCAAAACAGACTAACACAGCGAGGGTGTGGTCAGGGCTCCAGGTCTTCACACATGAACTCAGCCTCTCCTTCAATCTTCCAGACATGGTTTGGTGACCATTCCTGACAGCCTCCTCCCTTAAAGTGCCCAGAGCCCAAATATAACACTTGGCACTATCTCTTTCTGCTGGCTTGCTTGTCAGCCTCTGACAGACTTTGAGGTTGGGCAAGGCAAGGTGGTGTCTTGTTCATTCTGGGTGTCTAGTGTCATTAATGAAGAAGAACAGAGGGCTCTGCGGTCAGTGGCTCCTGAAGTGCCCCGGCTACCCCTCACCCGCTCCCACCAGGAACCTGTGACAGTGCCAACACTGAATAAGGGGGAAATTGAGGCCCACAGAAGGCCCATGAATGGCCCTGGGTCATACGGCCCATCCTTGTAAGGCTGAGACCAACCAAAGCCTTCTGCTTACCGATGCTGTGCAAGGTTAAGCCCTCCCTCTGCCCCTCCATGACAAGGCAGGCTGGGAGGTGGGGAGAACTGGCAGCCTCCAGTTCAGAACTCCAAACAGAGCTGCAAGAAGCAAACACAGTGAGGCGCATCTGCACGTGACCTTTATTCCTCATGTTTCTCTGACTTGAGTGGGGGTTTTGGAGGTTCACCTTGGGGTACATTTTCTCTTGCCTCATCTCCTTCTCCCCAAGCAGGCCCCTATCGCTGACCCAATAGAGGCCAGGAGGACGTTGAATGATGTGGAGAGTCCAGATGCCCCTGGGGAGGAGACAGAGAATGAATGAGGACAGGGGACGGGCAGTGACCCAGAAATCCCGTCCAGATCCCCGCTTCACGTCCTGAAAACCCCGGTGCCCTGCTTTGGGTAGAGGCTGCTAGAGGCAGCTAAAAGACAAGTCAGGGGTGAATTCATGGTAACTGAGAGGCGGAGAGTCATCCACAGACAGACCCCAAGAGCTACAGTGTGTTCACTTTACACAGGAGGCCACTGAGGCCCAGAGAGGGCAGGGGACCTTGCCCAGGTCACCCAGGTGAAAGTGCGCAGGCATCACTTCTGGCCTGGGTTCCCTTGCTCTTCTTCCTACCCAGCACCCCATCACTCCTCCACTCCCACCCCAAACCTCACTCAGAAGGAGCCAGAAGAGGGGACAGTGAGGGAGAGACTGAAGATCCAGGAAGCTGAGGGTCACAGAACTGCAGGGCAAGGAGAAGGCCTCCCTTGGGCTCAGCCTCAGGCTGTCTTTTCCCAGCTCTGATGGTCTGTCCAGGACACTTACCCACCGACTGCAGAATAGCCACCGGGCTCCCCGCAGAAATCGCACCCCCATTGGCGATGGCTGCTGCGGACATCATCTTGGCTGCTACGGAGGACGCGGCGATTCCTGCCCCAGTGAAGCCCATGGCACTGAGCACCACGGGCACAGCCCCCACTGCCAGGGCTGTGGGGAGAGAGAAGCTGGGTGGGCTCAGGGGAGAGAAGCTGGGTGGGCTCAGGGGAGAGAAGCTGGGTGGGCTGGGTGCAGAGATGGGCTCAGGAGAAGGGAACCCTCCCCTTAGGAATTCCTTGACAGTTTCTGGGGACTGTCAGCTTTAGCAATAGGAAGACGGCAGCTTCGGGGTCTCATGGTGAAGAAGAGGTGGTGAGTGTGGAACCAGGCGAGGCAAAGATGTCATAGGAAGGCCAGGCATAGCCCTGATTTGTCTCTAACTTGCTGTGTGATGCGGTGAAAGTCAATACCCTTCATTGGGTCTCTAGGGGTGTGTGTGTGTGTGTGTGTGTGTGTGTGTGTCCGAACATAAATGTGAAAAGAGCCATGTGGAGTGATGCGGTGAAAGTCAATACCCTTCATTGGGTCTCTAGGGGTGGGGGTGTGTGTGTGTGTGTGTGTGCGTGTGTCAAACGAAATCTTCCTTCTACGCTTATCCTATATAAGGACTAGAGGAGAAGCTGGGGCTGGAATGGGAGGGAGCTTTTCCCTGGAGTATCTTGATGCTGCTCAGGCAGCTTCGGGAGTGGAGGGTGAGGGGGTGAGAGCCAGCTCAGCGCGTCATCTCTGCGGTCTCCCAGCACCCCCGGACCAGGCTAGGTGAGGGTCCAGAGTCAGAAGCGATCGATCCAGGTAACTTACCTCCACCCACTGCAGCAGCAGCTGCCTGTTCTAGAGAGAGTGCCAGGGGAAGGCAGAGGGGAGGGGGAGAGGGAAGAGAGAGAAGAAAAGGGAGAGAGAGGGAGGGAGTCAGTAATCAGCCGGTTAATGGAATCAGGGAACGGAGCTATTTCCCGTCCCTTCCGGGGCCGGGGTCGGGAAGGCCTGCTCCGCTCCCAGCCCGCCCGCCCCCTGGGGAAGCAAGACTCACTCATCATGGTGAGGCCGTCCGGGTTCCAACTCGACCCAGGAAATGACAGCGTTCTTGGGGTGTTCCTTCCTCCTCCATCCCACAGGGATACGCCCGTACTCTGCCCAGTAAGACGCAGGCCCCGCCCTCCCTACGCCGCTCTCGCCCGGGCACCGCCCCCGCTCCCCTGCTGGCGGGTCCCGGATCCACAGATCCACCGAAGAGAAAAGCGCTGGAAAGAATCTAGAAGCCGTAGCCCGTGGGCCGTGCTCCCAAATTCCTGTAACGCCGCCCCCGACTCCAACCAGGCAATAACAAAGCTGCAAATAAATAAATAAATAAATAATAAATAAAACGAACAAGATACAAGGAGAAAACCGGTGTTTAATTTCACCTCCAGAGAGACACTAACATAATACATTCTGGCACTTTTCCTTCCAGCCTGAATATGTAAACACCCCCTCCACTACCTGCCAAGTTCCCGTCACACTCCGCTTTGCAAGTTACCCACTTTAGTTAATCAGCCATTTAGATTTACCCAGGTTGTTTAATATTCCTCAACAAGATTTTTTTAAAGTCAAGTTTATTAAGGTGTATGTCATTTACACAAGTTTAAATTCACCCTTTTAGTGTACACTTCTATGGGTCTGGGTGACTTTGACAGCTCTGATACAGACCATTTTTTTACATGCCCGGCCACTCCACCAAATTCTCTCAGGCTCTTTTGGAGTCACCCCGTCCCCCCTCCTGGCAACCATCCCATCCCCGCCCATTTGCCTTTTCCAGAACTTTAACATGATACTGAACTGTCATTAAATATTCCATCCCCGTGGATACAACGTATCAGGCCCCCTTTTAAGGGTTTAAAGTCTGATTTTTGTCCTGATAAGTTATCTTAGCATGAAGCGCTAACATTATGAGGCACAAGTATTTTCTGTATATTCCTAGAGGTGGAACTGCTGGGTCAGAAACTACGCATTTTTTTTCTAATAGCACCTAATACCTATGTTGTTATGTTGACGTCCAAAAATATTGCCATCAGTTTACATTTTCCCAGAAGTTTGTAGGAGGATCCATTTTTTCTGCTCCTCACCAACAATTAGCTTTGTTGTTAAGAAAAGAAACAACAGCAAAAACCCTTTGTTGATTTAATATGTGACTTCTTTTAATATACATTTCCCTTTAGCACTAGTGAAACTAAACTATTTTTAAGCTTTTTAGCCTCATGTACTCCTTATTTTGTGAGTTATCTTCTCATATTCTTGGACCTTTGTTCTACTGAAGTATTTTTTTCCTTATTGATATATAGGAATTAATGATATATTAATTATCTTCATCCATTCTTATAGATGTTGCAAATTTTTATTTCTAGTTCATTGCTGCCTTTTTGGTGTCTTTTTTTCATAGAAAAGTGTTTAATATTTATGCAAACTTACCAATATTTTACTTTATTATTTTTGTCTTATAAAAGGCCATTTCTACTAGCTATTCAGTACACTGTCACTTGTATTTTCTTTAAGTTCTTCTGGGGGCTTGCTATTTAAGATTTACTTTAATCCATCTGGAATTTAGATTGGTACATATAGTGCTTTACGTATTCATAAATGTCTTAGCCAGTTGTTCCACTACTGTTATTAAATCAAATCGTTGATTTGATATCCCCTCCTTATATTCAAAACTCACTGGCTGGTATATATACCAGCATATCTGTTTGGATATTTTCTGTTCTGTTCCTAAAGCTACCTCTTTTGGCAACAATAGCACACTGTTTCAATCTTATAAATTTATTATTTGATTTAAAATCTGTGCACAGCAGTATCAAAATTGTTAACCCAGGGCTACACATTTTTTGTGAAGATTAAAAATACTTTGTAATGCTTTCTACTATCCTGAAATGAAATTCATAGACAACATCATCTATTATAGTTGCACACAAGGTATTGCCCAAACAGAAGAGACGTAAAATTATTTGTAATAAAATAGTGTATATTTCAATATGCACATGGTCAAGCGCTATTACACCAGAAGGTATAATGAAAGAATGAGTTGTTTGCACCCATATAAGTTTGGATTTAAGATGATACCATATTCAATGGTAAATTCTTAATGCCTTTCTTTTTTTTTCTTGAGATGGAGTCTTGCTCTGTCAGGCTGGAGTGCAGCGGCGCCATCTTGGCTCACTGAAACTTCCACCTCTTGGGTTCGAGCGATTCTTCTACCTCAGCCTCCCGAGTAGTTGGGATTACAAGCGCGTGCCACCATGCCTAGCAAACTTTTGTGTTTTTAGTAGAGACAGAATTTCACCATGTTGGCCAGGCTGGTTTCGAACTCCTGACCTCATGATCCACCCGCCTCAGCCTCCCAAAGTACTGGGATTACAGGTGTGAGCCATTGCACCCAGCCAACGCTTATTTTTTATATTTGATGTTTTAAAACAAGGACTTAAGAAACATATCCATATATTTATATACATATATATATATCTGATCACCATGAATGGGACTACTGAAAATCCAGCACTGCTACCAATGATACGATTCTCTGAAATGGTGAATAACTCTTAGTAAAGTTTGGAACAAATTAAGTGTGATTTCTCCCTTATTTGCAAGATAACAAAATTCCTAAAAATTCAATCTATATTAAAACTATACCAACAATACCTAAAACATGGTAAAGTTCTAGGCTGAAATAATTATGAACATTTTGCTTGTATGAAGAGACCTTTGACACTTATACAGAGTAACTTTTAGTTATGCAGGATTGTCTTACCTATTTCAGGATGTCAGGCCCCTGTCCCAAGAACTAAATACCAGCATCCCCCGCCAATTGCTGACTACTAAAAACACACCATCAAATTTCCCAAATGCTCCCTAGGGGGCAGTACCATCCTGTTAAAAACTACTGCCTTGGCCTACTGCCTTTGTATTAATAGTTGAATACTACTGTCTGCTCAAAACTACTGTCTTAGTTAAAAACCTAGAAATGCTTATAATTATTTATGGAGAAAATAAAACAAAATAAAACCAATGGCATTAACATTTTTGGCATTAGTGTTAGGATTAATTTGTACATATTGAGTATTTAACTTGGGTATAAGAACTTGGCATATGTGACAGATTAGTTATAAAGCCAATTTTAATGATGTACTTTCATAAGAGACTAATCTTACGATTATAAAGTTGAAAGGCTTTCTACTTTAAAAACAATTTTATTAACAAATATTGTTTAAGAAAACTTAACATTCAAAATTATCTGTTTATTTTATTAGATTTATAAAATTCATCTGTGTTCATGGGAAGTCTTTGCTTGTTAGGGATACATGCAGTGTTTAAGAAGAAAATTGACAATGTTTAGATATTTATATACACACATACACACAAAAGGAAATCCGATTATGTTAATATACATGTATCCTAAACTAGGAGAATTTGCTCAACCAAGTTGTAAAAATCTCCTTAGCTTTATAAATAGAATATTAGGATTTTAATTAAAGCTAAGAACTTAAGGATTATTAGATTTTTAAATTTATTTCACTAAATTGAATATTAATCTAAAAACCCAAATAGCCTTTAGCGTTTATCAAAGCTGCTTTCAGACACAGGGAGGGGAGCACTACACACTGGGGTCAGTTGGGGGGAAATAGGGGAGGGACGGTGGGGGGTGGGGAGTTGGGGAGAGATAGCAAGGGGAGAGATGCCAAATGCAGGTGATGGGGAGGAAGGCAGCAAATCACACTGCCACGTGTGTACCTATGCAACAATCTTGCATGTTCTTCACATGTACCCCAAAACCTAAAATGCAATAAAATAAATAAATTGGAAAAAAAAAAAAAAGAATAACCCAAAACTCGAGCGTGTGCCAGCTGGCTTCTTTCTTTCTTTTTTTTTTTTTTTGGAGACAGAGTTTCACTCTGTTGCCCATGCCCAGAATGACGTGCAGTGGCACTATCCTGGCTCACTGTAACCTTTGTCTCCCAGGTTCATGTGATCCTCCTGTCTCACCCTCCTGAGTAACTGGGATTATAGGTGTGAGTCATCATGCCCAGCTCGTTTTTATATTTTTAATAGAGATGAGGTTTCACCATGTTGGCCAGGCTGGTTTTGGACTCCTAACCTCAAGCAATCTGCCCACTTCGGCCTCCCAAAGTACTGAGATTACAGGTGTGAGCCACCTGCTGCCTTTTAACACACCCTGAGTAGTATGAACTGGGCCCTTCTGACTTCCTGGAATATACAACTATAGCCCATAAGCCTCAAGCAAACGCAAAAAAAAGCACTTAAACCGAAAAGAAAACATTATTAATTACTCAAGCGCAATAAAATTAAGAATCTCTGCTCAACAAAAGGCACCATGACAAGAATAAAAAGTGAAGCCACATAGTAGGAGAAAATTCTTGCCATACACATAACTGACAAAGAATTGATATTCAGAATATATCAATATCACCTCGATACCAACCTGACAAAGGTATTAAAAAATAACTACAGAAAAATATCTCTTACAAACATACATGCAAATATCCTGAACAAAATACTAGCAAATCAAATCCACAAATATATAAAAGAGATTTATGTCATGACCTCGTGAGGTTAATATAAGGTGAGTTCAACATTTGAAAATCAATTAATTTACCACATATACAGAATAAGGGAAAAATATTGTATAGGTATATCAATACACGTTTTGATTAAAAATGCTGAGCAATTTAGGAATAAAGGAAGCTTCTTCAACCTTCTAAAGCTTTCTGCGGAAAAAAAACAACAAATATCACGCTTAGTGCTGCTGTATTGAATGTGTTCTACTTTAGATTGGAGGCACTTCGAGTTAATATCATGATGGGAGTCTTAACCAGTGTAATGAAGAAGGGAGGAAAGAAGAAAAGAAAGATATCAAGATTGGAAAGAAAGATGCAAAACTTGCTTTATTCATGTACAACATTGTTTATGTAGAAAGTACTAAGGAATCTACAAACAACTGCCAGACCTAAGTGAAGTTAACAATATTGCAAACATCAACTGCATTTATAAACATCAGCCACACCAGTTCAAGTGAAACTTCAATAGCATCCAGCTGTTTTCAAATGACACAGTAGCATCCAAACTGAAACATTTAGGAATAAATTATGAAAACACATGCAGGACATATAGACTGAAACTACAAAATA